CACACACACACACACACACACACACACACACACAATAAATAAACATAAATAAAAAAAATAAAAAAATAAAAGATTCTGTAACTTTTCTCTGTAGATGACCAACTTGATTGCTAATAAATCCCCTTGCACAGCTACGTGATACCTATCCTCGCATTGATTTTGTTCCTCGCAGAATCCTAACCTGTATACCTTGCTTACTCAGGATGGTGACCACCAGCTTGTGCCTGCTGGCCAGTTAGAGATCTTCTCTGTGATGTGTGTGTGTTTGAATTCTTCATCCATGTTTTTGTTGGGTTGTCTACAGGGTGGAGCTGAATGCTGCCAAGGAGCAGCCCTGGCAGACCACAGTCTCAGGGGCTGGGGAGGAGAAGTGGGGAGAAGAGGTGAGCCTAAGGGCATCTGACTTATTCTGGAGGCCCTTGAGAGGACGACCCTGGGGTTGGGAGCTGCTCTGGGACTGAATGGTGGCTGCCCCAGTCCACACGCTGAAGCCCTCGCCCCAGTGACTAAGACTGGCCTCATTTGGAGACAGTTCTTTATGAAGGTAAATGGGTTACAGTGAGATCCTGCTGTGGGTCTTTATTCACTAGGTAGGGTTCAGGGACAAGATTGCACTGAGGAAAAACAGTATGAGGACACAGGGACACGTGAATATAGAGGTCCCAGAAAATACCAACCTGGTGACACCTGATTCTGCATTTCTAGCCCCTGGAGCTGGAGACAGGAAGTGTCATTGATGTGGCCGCCCTTCTGTGGGCAGGGACCAGGTGATAGAAAACCTAGAGGACAGTGGGAGAAGAAGGGGCATGTGTGTCCCTGCAGGTGACCTGCATGAGCAGTGCCATGGGGCGTGGGAGCAGGTGCCTCTTCCCACAGGGGCAGCCATGCACGCAGGACCCAGTGTGATGTGAGGCTGACTGTGGGCCAGGGCTGCGGCCAGGGGGCTCTTCCTGGAGTCCGCGGCATAGCAAGGCGCAGGGCCTGCTCCTGTTATGGTGGAGGGAGCTCCTCAAACACGGTGCACTGGTGCTTAATGAGAGAGAACATTTCTCTCTTGCAGGAGGGACCCATCATCCCTACCACAGAATTTCAGTCGCTCACACCACAGCACAGTCTGTGATCTGTCCCTCAGCCACCTTTCATCAATTTACTGATTTGTCAACATGGAGAAGCTGTGAGAGTCCTTGGTGTGGAGAGGAGCTTTCAAGGGGTGACTTGCCAGTTTGGGGGACCCTCAGTGGGTCCCCAGCTTTTAGCCCCCAGTAAGGAAGGACCTGGCATCAAGCTCTGGGCTATCTGCTACTGCGACCGCAATTCAGAGGCCCTCGGCTCTGGGATCACTACTGTCCCTATGTAAGGAAACGGAGGTTCCTTACATGTACCCTGACCAGGTCCACCCGGCTGCTCCCTTGGGCCCGTGCCAAGGCTTACAATGCCGTCGACAGTCCTGGGCTTTTCCTAGTGCAGCTCTGTTCCCACAAGGAGAAAAGGCAGAGGCACAGCCTTGACCAGACACCAGCTGTGCGGCAGCCAGGTCAGCCCTCAGCGCGGCTCCTCCACGCCTTGCATCTTGGGGACTTCTGTTTGGGGTGCCTGCTTGGGAACTGCCTAAGTCTTGCTCCTACAGCCAACTTGTTGGGGACATCAGGTGGCCTAAAGAGCTGAATGCCATGGGCAGAACCCAGTGCCCACAGCTCCCATTTACTCCCTCTTCCTCCCTCCCTGGCCAAATCTGCCCATGCAGGAGGTGAGTGGGCTGAATGGTTCACCCCCAAAGACGCCCATGTCCTAATTCCCAGACCCTGTAACTAGGACCTTACTGGAGAAAAGGACCTTCCCAGGTGTGATTAATTTACGAAGTTTGAAATAAGATCACCTTCGATTAGCCACATGGGATCTAAATTCAATGGCAAGCATCCTTAGAGGAGGAGTGTGGACAGCTTATACCCAGAAAAGAAGGCCAGGAACACCAGAGCAGTACCAAGCAGTGCTTGGGGCTCCCAGAAGCTAGAAGGCATGAAGGAACTTTGGTCTTGGAGTCCGCCTTTGGGACTCTGAAGAAACAAATCCCTGCTGGCCTGAGCCAGTGAGTACTCCTTTGCTGCAGCAGCTCTAGGGAGCTGGGGTTAGCCAGGCACTGGGATGGCCTATGGGGTCCCCTCTGGGCTCAGTTTGGGACAACCTGCTGACCAGTGGCTACCTCAACAGGTGGCTTTCTTCCAGAAGCATTGAGTATGTCCGGGCCCAAAGAATCCCAACATTGGCGACTCAGATGATCATCCTGAAAAACATCATCCCAACAGGGTCCTAGCAAATCCCACCTTATCCCCAGGTTGAGGATGGCCCGGGATGGCCCTTGGCATTCATTCCTTCATTGAATGTGCAGTTCACACCATGCTCCCTTCAGTGGAGACCTCCGTCAGCTCATTTTTATAGATGAGGCTACAGGGTGCAGAGCGAAAGGCTCCAAGTCTGCGTATTGTGTCCCCTTTGTAGTTACCACAACCCACAGGTGGCCCACACTGAGCCACCTGCAGTGGTCTAAATCTTCTCTGATCACGTGGCCTGGGAAGGATCCCAGAGCAGATCTCTAGAGGACTCTTGCGAAAGGGACTGATCAGGAAGTGACCTGCGGCAGATCAAGGAGGTGGCAGGGAAGTTAGGAGAGGGAACTGGGAAACCAGAAGGGGACCGTGTTAAGCAGGGAAATTGGTCTGTGTCATACAGGAAGCTGGAAGGCACATGGCCCAATCAAGAGGGGTGGCTTGCCCACCCTCTGGCTGCTAGGGACCAAGAGTTTGTGTCTATTTTTCCCAGTTCCATTTGGGGTTTGGGGGTGATTAGCTCATGAAAGTGAAGCCTTCCTGCATGAAATTTGTGCCCGTACAAAAGGGTATCCCAGAAAGTTCTCTTTTTCTTCCCTTCCTCCCTGTCACTCTGCCTCTGTCTCTGTCTCTCTGTCTCTCTGTCCCT